GGCTCTGTGTTTAATGAAACCATGATAGAAAAGCATTCTCTGTGATATTAATTAAATTTTAATTCAGAGTGTCATCTCCTCCAGCTCTTGTTCCATCTGCTTGTCTATTCCTACTTCTAATTGACTACTTTCTCATAGACTAAAACCACATCCAAGATTGTACCATACAATGAAACCCAACAATGAAATCTTGGGTTTAAGCCTCTAGCTGATGTGGTCTTAATAACAAATGCCACCAACCTCGCATGTCTCTCTGGCTCCAATTATCTCTTTCTCCTTCCCCTCACTGAGGGGTGTTTCCAAAAATGACCAGTCACCGAGGTCCCTACTCTAAATTTTCCTTTTCTCTAAATTTTTACCAAGTACAGGCTTTATCTTTTTGCTTTTTCACTATCGTCCCTCTGGCAAGCTCATCAATCACATCACATTTCTAAACCCAATGCTTTCATCTTGCTCTCTTCCTCAGATGTTAGAGGATTTGACATTGTTGAACTCTCTATTCTTCTTGAAGTTCTAATATTGGGCTTAGAGTCCTCACACTGTCCTGGCTTTTCTCCAATCACCCTGGGCCTTCCTTTTCCGTTATTAATGCTGACTCCTCTTCATCTGATCCTCCCGGAACCGTGCCCCACCTCACCCCTGTGTTAGATGATGGTTTCTTCTGGAGAGCTTACGTTCAGCATAATCTGGAATGAATTAGCCAATTTGATGGCTGAGAAGCTTTCGTCCAAGCCTTTGTGAATATCTTCTGGCTCAGCAAGACCCAAGGACATCAAGTCCCTTGTAAAATTCCGTGGTCTAGAATAAGGGATTTAGTGGGGAAGACGAGAAGGTCAAGGGAAACTAGAGGCACATTATAAACATCTGTTATTACAAATCTCTTCTCTAAGGCTGAGATTGTGAATCACAAGCCATTTAATTTCCACTGCCGAGTGGGAGGGTGAACAGTGTGAATCAGTGGTTAAGATGAGTAACTTAGGAAAACAGATACCTATGGTGATAGGGTCAGCTTCCAACTTCAATAACATTACCTCATTAGCTAAAGTATTTGATGTCTGTAATGTTGACGTTTTTGTTACCTTTCTCTATTACTTAAAAATAGTTGAATTTTGTATTCCAAACTCTTCTCCTTCTATTCTAGAAATTTTTTTTTGCAAGTTTACCCAGTGAGATTCTGTATAAACTAGAAGAATATCAAGTCCTTCAAAACAATGAAACCTTGAGTTTAGGCCTCTAGCTGGTGTGGTCTTCATATACATAGTCCTTTTACAGCTGGCTGACAGTCCGTCAAAGGGACTATGGGTCGACCAGCAAGTGTTCACGCTCTAAATTGAGGAACATAAAACAAGGGGTGGGAGTACGCTTTGGGACAAAATTATCGTAAGAAAACATTTGATTATTTTTGAAGTGGAAAGATAGATATTTTTGGAGACAGATACTTCTCTGGGTACTAATAGAAAATCCATTCCTTCATTCCTTTTCACCGATGGAATTTCTATTTTGTTGGGGCAGCAATGTTATAAGATAAAAATCACATTTCTAGGAAGATTAGATGACCAGCAATGATCATGTGAGACACATTTTTGGTCATTTCTGTGTATTTCTGAAAAATACTTTGCTTTCCTGATGTAAATGCAACGTCTTCTTCTTGTTTCTAACTCCTTTCTGCAGTCTGGATTACAGTCACGATGGCTGGAATTGCAACTGCCTTCATGTGCCTGATCACATGGGAAACCAGAAAGCATTTTCTTTCCACCAGCTTCAGACTGTTTATGTCTGAATTTATTGTTATATGGAAGAGAAATAAATCTCTGTTTAGTCTAACTGGTGGTCACTTGGATTTTTTTGTATGCAGCTGAACCCAAACCCTAACTGATGCAGTTTCAAGTCAGATGAGCCAATGCAGCAGAATGAAAAGAACAGAGACTTGATTCAGGCATCTGGTTTGCATCCCAGATTAGCTACTAACATCTGAGAGACCTGGGGCAAGATGTTAAAGCTTCTGAACCTCAGTTTCTGCGTCTGTGCATTGGGGCTTACGATATAGAACTCACTCCCTAAGTCGGCAATAAGGACTAATTGAATTAATGAATAGCTTCTGTAGACAGGAGTTAAAATTATAATGAAAAACTTAATAGAAGAATGTTTTGAAAGTGCTCTCCAAAGTAACATACATCCAGAAGAATCCATTTAAAGGTGGAGTCAGACTATTTCTGACCCAGTCCATTTGTTTTATGCACTGCCAGCAATATCATTGTAGCGGAAAACATATTTTATGGTGTGCTGGGTGGCTGGAGTAGCACTCAGATGCACGTGCACTAATTCCAGGTCAGCAAGAAAGTTCCAAAACACCCCTGACAAGACCCAAGCTGACCCCTTTTAACTCTTGAGTGAAATGTTATTTTACTCACCCAAGAAATCACTGAAAATAAAGCTATTTCTCAAAGAGGAATTTAAATAAATGCCAGAGAAAGAATAGTTCTCTCCAGGGCCTCATTCTGAACTTCCAATTTGTTCTTATTGCTGTTTTTTAAATAATAATGCATAGTATCAGGTGTGTTTTCCATTTCTAACCTCAGTATAACTACATACACTAACACACATGCTAGTTTGTCTTTTCCTGCTGTGTTCTTTCCACTTTCAGGAGTGTGGAAATATTTATGGGAAATTTCCAATAACTCGAGTGTATCTTTGAGATAAGGTAAGCCTAATGGGCCATGTAATGGGACAGAGGTGGCTGGTGGGGGGCCCTTCTTCTGGGTCAAAGGAACAGAGATATATCTGAGCAACTTCAGAAGGTAGCAGAAGAGAGAGGTGGTTACCATGTGCTGGCTAGAAAACTGAAGCAGGGAAGTAGAATGAAAGCGACATCCCTCTAGGAACCCGCTCTCCTGCATTCCACTCTCTTGTCTGTCGCTGACAGGCTTCTATCTATTTTCTCTACCAAAGAATTCCCTTTGCAACAGAGTACAGAAAAACTAAATCCAGAGCTTCGTGACTCTGACTTTCCTAAGTAGGATCATAATGATGATTGTCTATAGCATGATTTAAAAATTCACTAAATGTTTTTATACCTATTTTCTTATTCCTCAAAGTACAACTTCTCTCACCCTTCATTTGAATTCATCTCTATTCTACTCTAAATTAATATATTATCTATGAGGATTCAAAATCTTCATGGAAAGCAATCTCCCAAAATCCAAGTTACAAATCCCGAACAAAATATCTATCTACACCCCTGAACTAAAATCAAAGTCGAATTTATTCTTCATATTCACTGTGCACTGCTCTTTTATTCATCACCATAACCATCACCTATAACTTTGGTTTTGCTCAAGCCATGGTCAAAGTACCATGTTGCTGAAGGATTGGAGACTTTGTGACTCAAACAATTGAACAGAGACTTGACGATCCCCTTTGATTCAATTGCCATATGTCAGTTTCCTGTCTGTCCTGGAAAGCTGCACCTTTCTCAGAATCACCCATGTCCTGCTTTCTTTTCCTGTGTTGGGTGTATGGCTTCCGTCAGTTCCTCTGGGGAATGAGCTGCCCTTCTGTTGTGAAGCCTGTTTGCTTATCAACCTTTCAGGGAGGTTTTTGTTAAGGAGTCAGGAGGAAGTGCTCATCCAGATAGCACATGTGTCCATTCTTTTGGTGGTTGTAGTCACTAGGATTTCAAAAGATGTTCAATACATTAGCAATGATCAGCTTCTTTCAGCTTTTTCAGGGTTGCCAAAGAAAAGAAATGGCAGGAACTATTTCACATAACAGAAAAAACACAAATAGCCAACCAACAAAAGACCTCACACAAATCAATTAGAGAATTATTAGGAAGCAATAGCAAACTTTTCAAGAGAGAAGTAGACTTAGTTACGTCTTCATCTATATGCAAAGATTTGGAGGGAAATAAACCACAAATTTGTATTTCAGTTGCAATGTGATATTAGTATATTTTATTAGTCTTATACTTCCGTTTACATGTTGAAAACTATCCTAAATAGCCAAAACATGAATGTGAATAGATTTCTTTATCATATTTGTAAGGCTACAGGGGTAATTCATGAGCAAAACAGATACAGTAAATTCATGTATCTTCCACAAGGAAAGGCATCTTAGATTTCGTTGTAATTTTCTTAAAGTATTTCCAAAAATACAACCAAGTCTGTAAGAATGGAGGTTAGAGTGAAACAAGGCACTGAAGCACCAACCTTTAAGTGGTTATTTCTACTCTCCTGTGTCTAAAGGCATCCTGGAAGAACATTTCTCACCAGCCAGAAGCCAGATGAAAGGATATGTTAAGTATCCTTATGGCTTCCCACAACTCTAAGATAAGTTCTTTCACTTATTCCCCCTTTTTAACAAAGTTATAAAATAACATCAGTGTGAGAATGTTTCATAATGTACTACCTGGGGTGAAAAACAACCCAAAATACTCTTCCATAGAAAAGCCTATAGAATATATCTTAAAACCCCAAATTATGCTCTTTAAATGGATAGCCCATCTACAGATCTTTTGTGAAGCAATTTTGTCCATAAAGAAAAATAATCATTTTCTCTATGATCTCTTGAGTAGGGTGACTCTTCTTGGTGCTCCCATTGTCAACACAATTGGTGCTTCCATTGTTTACTTTTATCATCACTGTGGTTGCTGATTGCTTTCCCAGTAGATTAACAAAAAGCTAATTCCAAGGGATTGTAGTGGCCAGAAAACTAATATGCATAAATGATTTTTCAGGGAAGGAAAGGTGACTAATGCATCAATTATTGAGAAATATATATAATGTTGTGTGTTACAAGTGCTATACTCTGCACCCATTAGTCAGTTCTACAATTACGTGTACATTTTACACAAATCACTATTTAATAAAAATAGGCATGATACAAATGTCAAAGCTATTGCTTTGTCTTTGAAAATCCACATTTAGGAAAATAATCAGCTTGCTTATGGGAGGGATGAAAAAGAATAATGGGAGATTAACTAATGGAGATACAATACTTACAAGAGAACCTCTGGACCCAGTAACTGCTTCTTCAAAATTTTCAACTAAGGAAACAAAAGAAGTTTCTTTATAAATATTCTCTTGCAGTATTACTTTCAATAATAAAAGTTTGAGAACAACTTAAATGTTCAACAGAGGGGATCGATTAGGGGAAAACGGGGGCAAGTTGATAGAATATTAGTAACCATTAAAATTAAAAATTATAAAAAAGGAGCAGTGAAACAGCCACACTAAAATATGGCATCTCTTTCCTCATTGGAACCATTTAAAATTCATATGTGATTTTTTACAAGGCCTGGAGAGAAAGTGAAAAACTTGAAAAGAGTAAATTTGTTACAGTAGTGGAGTTATATATATATATTTAATTTGGCACTCTTGCTGTATCCTAGTGTACTAGTTGAACTAAAAAATGTGTAAACTTAAAATTTCTTAGAAAGTCTAAGAGAGCAATAAATAAACTGACACATATCAGGAGTTATAGGAGGCCAACACCTGAGACGCACATGATGAATATACACAGTCAATGCTGAAATGTGAAGAATGAAATCTTCTGTGCCAACTGGACTGGACAGAGAGAGCCTTTGGGTAAGAGTCCTTCACTTATCTCTGTGCTTAATGACTTTTTCCTTGAATCCCAAGGCTATGATTTTAGTTTTTTGCCTTGAACTTGTTTGTTCTCTTTGTCATGACAATGTTCTCCTGTTCCCACTTCCAAACTGCAATACCTTGCTAGAGAAAGTCCCTGAATTGGGTGGAAGTGAATACTGCTGTCTCACACTATCTAAATACAATGGAGCTACCAATATGAATATGGATATCATCTGTTGATTTTACAGTCCATCGAAACTATTGTTAAGTAACTTCTTCACTCTGTAAAATAAGAGACATATGCCTTTGAGAGTGTGCTATAGTGGCAGGAGGATGGTTTTGCAGTCAGACAGACCTGAGGTCAGTTTCTGGTTCTCCATCTATTATCATGTGAACTCCAACAAGATACTTACCTTCTGAAAGCCTCAGTGTCCTCCCACAAAAATATACAACTTCAACAGTGCTGCTCTGAGACTTAACTATAGTGCTAGGCACATGAAAGGGGTTTAGCAAATGGTATTATTATTAAAACACTGCCAGCCAGGGCTGGGTGTTGGATGGGAAAACATTCACAGCCAGGAGTTGAATGGGTGGGAGGAAGCATGGAAGGAGTGTAAGGTAACCCAAACTTTTCAGGCATGAGTGGTTGGAGAGGGCTGTTCTTGCCACTAAGACAGACAAACACATGAATACAAAGTTGTAATTTTGGAAGAGCTGGTAGTAGGTTTTTATTTTCTTAGGGACCCATTCCATTTTTACCCTTCTCCTCTATTAGAAGAAAAGGTGTCTAGCTTCCTTGAAATCCTTTCTTTCTGATCGAAGCTCCTGCTCTCACTTCCTCCTTCAACTCTCCCTTGTGTCCATGACCTCTGGCCCTCCCTTTCAGCTGACAAGCCTTATGCCTGCCTCTTTCATGTACATGTTCCCTGTACTGAGAACAGCACATGTGACTCTTCAATGCTAGCTACCCTGTTTTCCTTTCCACTCTAAGGCTTCTAGGATGACTCGTTTTTCTAAACTCTGCCACATCTTCGTTATCGTCTCACAACTTAACTCCCTGCATCTGATGTCTACTCTCATGACTAATCTAAAATTGTATTTTCTCAAAACTCCAACCATGGCTTTCTTTTCTTTGGATTCACATCTTAATCTATATTTTCCTTGGTGTACATCCTTGATGTAGGACATGTTTTGATACTGCCATCTTCCTAAATGTTTCTCCTCATAGTCACTTCTATATTTGTCAGCATTTTCCCCTCTGTTCTCTTTACTTCAGTTAAACAATCTCCAATAGCTATGTAGTTAAGAAACTGTGTTGTAGCCAAGAACATTCTATTTGTATTTTCTTTGACCTTGCAACCTGGGCTTCTCTAAGCTTTAATTTTCCCATCTATAAAATGGGGTTAATAATCATATAACTGTTGTGAGGTTTAAACAAGGTAATGGTCAGCACAGGGCTTTATACACAGAAACCATCGAACAATGCTATTTGTGTTGCTGTTATTCTTTTTTCTCTTTTTTATGTTTTGGGACAGAGTCTCACTCTTTTGCCCAGGCTGGAGTGCAGTGGCGCGATCTTGGCTTACTGCAACCTCCACCTCCCAGGTCCAAGCGATTCTCCTGCCTCACCCTCCTGAGTAGGTGGGATTACAGGGGCACACCACTATACCTGGATAATTTTTGCATTATTGGTAGAGATGGGATTTCACACATTGGCCAGGCTGGTCTCAAACTCCTGACCTCACGCGATCCGCCAGCCTCAGCCTCCCAAACTGCTGGGATTATAGGTGTGAGCCACTGCGCCCGGCCTGTTGTTCTCTTTTAAAAAAATTAGATTATAAAAGAGTGCTTGGGATTGGAATTTCCTTGCTTGGGACTGGAAACACTTGGCACTCTCATGAAACAATTTTACCTGTTCTTGGGAACAGCTGAGACTAATTAGTCAATTATGATAATTTCTTTTAGGCAATATTTACAGTATTTCCTGAAAGATACTACAGTTGAATGAATACTATCTAAACATCTATAATTAAATTTCCTTTGCTTAAGGGTTATGGTCACTTACTCTTTATGTCATCCATCTCCTTGGACAGATGAGAAAGCAGCTTATCCCTCCTTATGCTAAACAAGGCAGTGATATGCTATTGCTTTTTTTCCCCACAAAACCACAAATAGCAACCTGGCAAACATAATTAAAAAGTCAGATAAGCCCTCTTTAGGTTAGAATTGATACCTTGTTTGTTCCAAACTCTAAACTTGACTCTAAGCCATAGTCGAGAAACCTCTTTCCTGTGCTCTCAACCACTAAACGAGCAACATCAGCACTGGCTTTTGAGATTAATCAAAAGGTGGAAGATTCAGAGGTTCAGACAGAGTGTACTGGAGGCATTAGGGAAAATATCTGGATTTTGGTCAGCATTGTTTCTGATGAGGAGTGGATTGGGAGAAAGACTGTGAAACCCATTATGAGTTTTCTGTCTTTGCTATATCTCATTGAAATAAAAATATCAAAAAGTTGCCTGAGCTTTATAAGGGAGATGTCCCTCAAGAGGTAGACTCAAGCACAAATCCTCAAATACCTCATTTGTTTCCAAATGTCTTCAAATATTGCCTTATTTAGACATCTTCCAAACCTTTTTCTCTAGAAACGTTAGAGGTTTATCTAGACACAGTTTGCTACAGTGATGACGTCACACGTGTTTCACCTTAAATGGCTCACTGTCTAAATGAACTCAACACTCTTGCCCTCTTCCCTTGTTGCAGATGAACCAGCTTCATAAAGAAGGTCCCCATTTGTGCAGTCCTCCAGCTCTGAAACCTCACAGTCACCATTAACTCCTTGTTTCCTTTCCTCTAAAGCCCAAACTGTATCAGTCCCCAAATTCTCTTGACATTATCATTGAGATCTTGTTATTTATCGCCAGTTTCTTCTGTCTTTAACTTAATTCAGATCCTTTTGTGTCACTGTATGTCTGGAGAACAATGAAAGCCTCATAACTCTCCCATCTCACCAATCCATCTTGCAGGAATAATTGAACTAAGAGATTGCTTTTCATCATCTTTGACCTTTCAAAGACCCTGTATCTTCAGAGTGAAGACCAGATTGACATTACAGTCTTCAACCAGCTGGTGCAGACTATCATTACAAACTCACGCCTCTCACTGCTCTGGCGCATAAATTTTGTTTTCTATTCAAACTTGCACCAAAACCTGCTTTGTAGACTCTATATAATACACTAAGAATAACAGCTCTTCTCCTCTCTGTCTTTGAACTATTGCCCCTTCTCCAGAGCCTAATTCAAATTTCATCTTTTCTGTGTGACTGCCCTAATCATTTAGTCAGATTTTTTGCCTACAATTTTTTAATACTTTCTCTAATAGTCTGTTCTCATGCTGCTGAGACTAAGCAATTTGCAAAAGAAAGGTTTAATGAACTTATAGTTCCACATGGCTGGGGGAGGCCTCACAATCACAATGGAAAGCAAAGAGGAGCAAGTCACATCTTACATGGATGGCAGCAGGCAAAGGGAGAGCTTGTGCATGGGAATTCCTCTTTAAAAAAACCATCAGATCTTGTGAGACTTATTCACTATCATGAGAACAACATGGGAAAGACTTGCCCCCATGATTCAATTACCTCCTACTGGGTTCTTCCCACAACATGTGAGAATTCAAGATGAGATTTGGGTGAGGACACAGCCAAACCATATCACTTTCTATAATATTAATAAATTTTTCAATCATGTCAGTTTCATTTCTCCATAGAATCTTTAACTTCATTGATGGTAAGGCCTCCATTTCATACCTTTTGCAGTCCCTCCAATGGTCTGGCATAAGGACTTGTGCACGACATTAAAGATATTATTGATTGATGGCAGTAGAGTAGATGCTTGCATTCCAAAAGATGACTGAAAACATTAGAGTAGATGGATAATTCCTCACATCAGAAAGAGCCAAGTTTGGAATGTAAAGAATTAACTGTCACTTAATCAGGGTTGGTGCATATGACAGGATAGGTTGTGCACAACTTCAACAACTGTGCATAGCAGCACAACTACTTACCCCAGAGGTCAGAGCTGTAGGTATTGATACAATCTTGTAAGAGCCCATGAATTGGATGCATCCTGTGAAATTCATTCTATGCAGCTTACAAAATCTGGATGTGTCAGAGTTCTCACCTGTAAATGGAGAATGCACATAAATGACAACTGTTGCACAACAGTTGTTACCAAACTGTCAAAGGGCATTCTTTTGTGTGCACAAACATCACACTATATAATTTTCTATCCTCGAAATTGTATTTTTCACGGAAAATGGTTCAGCCACTATGGGAACGAGTTTGGCAGGTTTTCAAGAAGCTAAACATAGAATTACCATATGACCCAGCAATTCCGCTTGTAGGTATATATCCAACAGAACTGAAAACAGATACTCAAATACACATATACACATGCTCCTGGCAGCACAATTTACAAGAACTAAAAGATGGAAACAACATAGTGTCTATCAATGAATAAATAAACTAATTGTGACAGATACATATAATAAGATATTTTTAGCCATGCTATGATATGGATTAAACTTTGAAACAATATGCTAAGTGGAAGAAGCCAGACCCAAAAGTCCACATATTGTATGGTTCTATTTATATGAATTACTCAAAATAGGCAAATCCATAGAGACAGAAAGCAAATTGGTGTTTTGTAGGGGATAAGTAGGGGGAGGATACGAAATAATTATTTAGTAGGTACAGGGTACCCTTTTTGGGGTGATTAAAGTTATTTTGGGACTAGATTAAAGGAGTGTTCTCATATAGTTGTGAGTGTATTAAATGACACCTAATTGTTAACTTTAAAATGGTTAATTTTATCTTATGTGAATTTTGCCTCAATTAAAAACATGGTTCTCCTTATTACTATGCAACATATTCATTATACTCATTGCTTTTTTAGTGTGTTTCCAGCATTACACTGTAAAGAAAAACAGTAAATAAATAAAACAGTTTCCCTGCCATCAAAGGTTTTTGAAACCATTTGGGAAGTAAGTCCTAATCAAAGCAATTGGATAATGATACAAAACAAACTATAAAAAGATAGTACCATTAGCATCTGAGAAGGGTTTGCTTTCCTTAATTCCTCCCCGGGTTTTCCAGATAGCTTTTGAACCTGGGCCAGTCACTTGATGTCTCTTAGTTAATAGAAAGAAAAGATTGAATGTGACAGTCTCTAGGATTACTACTGGGTTCAAAAGGATTGGGAGATTTTAAAGGTGATATTGTATGGCAGAGATAATATATGTTATAAGGAGCAAATTTCTGGAAAATACATGAGTGGCAACAGTCTCTGGCAAATACTTCAGAGGAGAGTCAAAAGTGTGGATGTTGTCTTTAGCCTAGAGGACAGCGTTGGAGAGGTTGCCGTTGCCATGCTACATGAGAAGAGAACCTAAAAATATTTTTAATATTGAACTAATATGAGAGAGTATATTTTCTGTAAAAAAAAAAAAAAAGTATATTCTTAAGTTATAGCTAAGTCACTCACAGATTATCTTCTATTCAAGTTATCTAAGGGCACATTCTTCTCCGTAACTGAGACCCAATCATATAAAAATATGGTGTCTATAATAAAATCATTAGAACCCCAACAGAAAACACATTATATTTCATCATAATGACAGTTAAATTTCACCACATATGAAATGAAGTTCTCAATTATGAATCTGTCCGGTTTTATCCTCTGGCAGTTTGGATTTAATGAACCGAAGTTGGGATGAGTAAGACTGAGGTGTGAAAGCATAGAAGGATTCATCTTTCATACTGTGTATTACCAACCTCAAATCTATCAGTTATTTCATTCTCTATATAAATCACACAAAACAAACTTCTCCCTAAGCAATAATTACACTAACGCCTTAAATAGACATTTTCTCAACATCCCTAGAGTAAATGCATTATTTCAAAGGATGATAAAATGTCTGATGAAAGGCTACCAGGATTGCTACACGACTTTGCATTCCCCATCACCATGTTACAGAGAAGAGGACCCGGATTTTCTTCCTTCACATTCTTTTACGATACACGAATACTCTTTGAAAGGTGCTCTCCTTATCGCATTTCATCTGGTATGTAAATTGCCAAACTGCAAGTCTGCTTGTCTGAGATTGTTTTATAAACCATCATTGTTTATACATGTCACTGATTAGTTTCTTTTTTGTAGCTTGGATTGTTACTTATTTGAAAAAAGTGTTGCTCTTCAACTGAAGTGCCCTTGCTTCTCCTTTCTCCAACTGGAGTGGGGTGGGACAGTGGAAGTAGACTGAGCAATTCTTAACCTGGGGGGAGCCACTTCCGGTCAGAACATCAATGACTGCCATTTGAATCAACAAAAAGAAGGAAATATCAATTTGAGTTTTGGAGAAGATGAATTTTCTTAGTCGCAAAACTTGGCAGGCTATGATTACCTGTGGCCAGATTGACACACGACCCTCTTCGCACCCTCCCTCCAGAAGCCCCTTCACACACATATCCACCGATAACATGCCCAGGTAGAGAGGGAACCCTGAACACATTGCCCCAGCCATTGCCTCTGGCTCCTTGGGTGCTGTGGCTGCAAGTACACCTTTCAGAAAAGCAAACAGAGATTTATGTTCCTTTTCACACCTTCTTCAGCAATCTTCTGTGGCAGAATATTTGGGAATGGGAACAAGTACAGTAGCAAAAAAGAAAAAAAAAAAGAAAAAGAAAAACTGTTTATGAATAATGGAACATTTCAAATCCATCTGGTTTCTGAGACATTTTTTAGTTTCTCACTACAGCCAATTATATAGCATGCTTGAGTGAGAACTGGTTCTATCCTGAGGCTCATTCTGCTCTCAAATTTCTACATTGATAGTTGCTACCAACCTCTGAGGTTGGTAGCCATATGGTAGTCCAATATGGTACTTTATACTCTACTTGTTATACAGTAGGTGATATTCTGGTGAACATAAATCCACATTGTAGTAGGCATCATAAAGGGAGACCCAGGGTGGGGAAGCTGGAGGGCCTTCCCAGATTTTGGCAACATGCAATAGTTTCCCTTTTTAGTTTAAGGATGCTGGGGAATTATTTCCATAGTTTTTCCTTTTGCTGTCTATGTATATCCAGTGTGTCCCTGAGTAAATGACGAGAGCCCATGAGAAAAATAGGGAAAAAATATTTTGGTTTTGGGAAAAGGCATTTCATTCATTCCATTCTTCAAGCATCTTGCATTTCTATAAACTTTTATTATGAAATATTTGAACTTATAAATGCATATCTATATACTATTTTTTCAATTTGTATATTTCAACTTATAATACTTACATGCATTTCAATTTACATATTTCATTATGTAAAAGTAGAGCTAATACTATATTGAACCTTTCTATATGTCCATACATAGCTTCAAAAAACCACTCTCAAAAAATAAATTTAATATCATTGCTTCTAAAATTTTATATCAGTAATGCTTTATCATCATTAAATATCCAGTCAATTTACAGAGTAATGAGGACTTTATATTTGCCTATTAAATAAGCAGTTTTCTTGTTATCTAAAGGCCTCTCTAGATGACTCACTAGAGACTACTATGATTGTCCATTTCTACAGATAAGGGACTGAGGCTCCAGAAATGTAAATACATTGCCCAAACTTGCAAGGTAAACAAGGAACAAAGTGCAGCTCAACCTCAAATCTCTGCCACTCAAGTCTGTTGTATTAAACTGCTTTGCCAGGAGCTCTCTGGGTCTAGTCTTAACCTTAGAGAGGGAGGGCCATTGTGGACAGTCCCATGCAAACACCCAATTTCCAACAACATTTGGCTGATTCTATGTCTGTAGAACTGGACCCTCAGGAGGGTTATGAATATGCACTGAATACACATGATGCATTTATATGCATGGTGTATGTGGTTGAAGTTTAACCTTGCCACAGGAGACAATGAGGTTTTGCAGTCCTTCTTCAGTGACTGTAGCCTTCTCTGGCTTATTCTCAAGTCCACTCTCTTTTCCTCTTATTATTGCCACTAAATTACAAATCTTTCAAGGCAGAAATGTATTTTAAATGTTAGCATACTTCTCCCCTTTGGCCAGCACTATATGTTGTATGTAGAAGTGAGAGGTGAAGCCTGCTGGACTTCCTGGGTCGAGTGGGGACTTGGAGAACTTTTCTGCCTTACAAGAGGATTGTAAAATGCACCAATCAGCACTCTGTAGCTAGGATTGTAAAACACACCAATCAGCGCTCTATAGCTAGCTAGAGGTTTGTAAAATTCACAAATCAGTGCTCTGTACAAACACATCAATCAGCACTCTATGGCTAGAGAGAGGTTTATAAAATGGACCAATCAGCATTCTGTAAAATGGACCAATCAACAGGTCATGGTCAGAGACAAATAAGGGAATAAGAGCTGGCCACCCCAGCCAGCAGTGGCAATCCGCTGGGTTCCCCTTCCATGCTGCGGAAGCTTTGTTCTTTCACTCTTCCGGATAAATCTTGCTGCTGCTCACTCTGGGTCTGTGCCACCTTTAAGAGCTGTAACACTCACTGCGAAGGTCTGCGGCTTCATTCTTGAAGTCAGCGAGACCACAAACCCACAGGAAGCAACCAACTCCAGACACAGAGGGACTAGATAAATACTGGTTGAATGAAGGAATATGAACAAAGCCACTTGTAAGTATTGTAAATTTACTGTTAACCATTTTAGGTAACGTGTATCTAAATTTCATTCCAAACAGCCTATAATAGATTATGTAATATGTGCAATAGCTCCTCAAGCTAAACTGAACAAGACAGTAAAAATGTAGAATATTTAATACCATATTCCAAGTCACAGTCCAATGAAGGGTGGCGTATCTTAACAAGTAAGTGATTTTTTTTTTTTTTTTTTTTTCTCTCTGTCGCCCAGGCTAGAGTGCAGTGGCGGGATCTTGGCTCACTGAAACCTTCGCCTCCTAGGCGGGAGTTCAAGCAATTCTCCCGCCTCAGCCTCCAGAGTAGCTGGGACTACAGGTGTGCACCACCACATTTGACTAATTTTTTGTATTTTTAGTAGAGACAGGGTTTCACCGTGTTAGCCAGGATGGTCTCCATCTCCTGACCTCATGATCCGCCCACTTCGGCCTCCCACCATACTGGGTATTACAGGCATGAGCCACTGTG